TTCCACAGCCACGTGCAAACAAATGAAACCATACCCTTAATTCACCTCATATATATGATACACATTTAAACCACAATACATTGTAGGGATTATTCATAAGTATCAAAGCTGCAATATTTTTAAAGAAAATTTAGTAGTGAATCTTTTTATCCCTACGCTAGCAATCTTTTTTAACATATGACATTAGAATTGTAGATGGCAACTGAAAATTCACATAAGGGGCTGGAGAGATGGCTCAGCAATTAAGAGCACTGACTGTTCCTGCAGATGACCCAGGTTCGAATCTCACCTCCCACATGGCAGCTAACAACTGTCCGTAATTCCAGTTCTAGGGGATCCAACACCCTTTACTGACCTCTGTGGGCATTGTACAACACAGTGCACTCACATGCATGCAGGCAATGAATTCATACACATAAAATAAAAATAAACAAACAATTTAAAAGAATATTGAACATATAATGTAACTCCTGAGTTCCCTTCCTTGCTGTAGACTCAAGAGAAGTGAGAGTAAATTTCCACCTCAGACTTGTACAGTAATGTGCATGCAGTGTTATCAATAACAGAACAAATAGCCTAAAAAGCCATCCAGGAAAAAATGTAAAAATTTTATAAGATAAAACGTTATTTGAACTTAGAAGTAAATAAGATCCATGACACAACATCAGTAAACTAGAGAGAATTATGGTGACAGAAGCCAGTAACAAAGGTCATGGGTGGATGTTACCATTTATATGAAATGCCCCGAATAGGCAGAGAAGCAGAGACCAGAAGTTGACTTCAGTAGAAAGAGGAGAGTACAACCAACTGCTGAGAAAACTTGATCTGTGGAGTGATGAAAATGTTCTAAACTCAGGACATGATGATAGCTGCATGACTCAGAGTATACTAAGATCAGAACTGTGTACCGTGAAAGGAAGACCTCAGTGATATGTAAATTAAATATCACCAAGATTACTTAAAATCTGAACTTTGAGGGTTATGGAGGTGTCAGTAAGAGAGTGTACTAGTCTTCCAGAGGACCTGAGCTTGGTTCCCAGCATGCACATGGGGCAGCTCACAACTGCCTGTCCCTCCAGCTCCAAAGGATCTGAAGCCTCTGGACTCTGCAAGGCATTGCACTCACATGACTATACCCCAAACCCCATAATTAAAATTAAAATAAATCTTAAGACATAAATAAAATGAACTTCTCATTACTCATTAAAATCCTTAAATTGGTGTTTTTCTTTCAACTGGTATTTTCATTCACATAAAAAAACAAGATCATCCCACCTTTAAAATATCGGTGTTTTCCTTTCAACTGGTATTTTCATTCACATAAAAAAAAGATCATCCCACCTTTAAAATAATTATTTTAATGTTCATCCTATATTTAATTTAAAATTATACATGTAATTTAAAATGAGTATTTGAAAATGTTTTTGCCACTTTAATGTTTAACAAAGTTCAGTAAACTTCAAATTTAGTTTCAGAAGAAAAGAACAATAAAACCTCACATAAAATTTTATATTTTAGTGAGGGGACATTGTTTTGGTCCCTAAGTTAACAATTTGGAGTTTTCTCTCTTGTTCAACGTCTTGAGGTCTGTCTCTTAGGAAACATGATGGTATGGAAGAAAGGGAACAGAAAACAAGAAAGGCTGGGAGAGAAGAAGAGAGGAAGAGAAGGAGGGAGGGAGGGAGCGAGGGAGGGAGCAAGGGAGGGACGGAAGGATGGACGACAGACGGACAGAGGAAGGAGAGAGAGAGATGTGAAGAGAATAAGAAGCAACTTTACTTGAATGCATATTCCAGAAAAATTAGAGTAACCAAAAATATATAATAAAGCTAAGGCTAATCTGCACTAATCTAGCAACACACTGAAAGTTAAGATGTGCATTAGCTCTAGAACAGTTATAAAAACCAGAAAAAAATGCTGTAGACTTGGATTAAATTTGTATTGCTGAGAATAGATTTTTCAGTAAAGAAAGAAAATGTGCTGTCTTTACTTCGTATTTTGTTTTTATAGTAATAACATGTAGGAATTATATAAACTTAGCATTTGGCCCAATGTATTGAAATTTGTGCCTTACCTTTTTTGTCTCTAGTTTTGATTGATATACTATCCTTTGAATTTCTGTATATGGAATTTTACTCATTTTTCTTTTGTGGTTTCTTGCTTCATTTTTATAAAGACCATTCTGTTGTTAGAGGTCTATTTTTGCTCTTTTGAAGATTCATATATTTAAGATTTTAGTTATGCATTATGAATATTGTTAATTTAAATTTGTATTGGGCTTATAAGTTATTTGGGTGAATAATACACTAGACCGAATATAATTCTAATTCAAGAAGTTTATTATTCAAATAATGTTTAAATTTTTCTTTATGTCACCAAGATAATTTAGTATGTAAAAGCACATGCTACCAAGCCTCAGGACCTGAATTTGATCCCCAGGACCCACAAGGTAAAAGGAGAGAACTGATTGCACAAATGTTCTCTGACCTCCATCCATGCTCTGTGGCATGGGCACACCAAGCCCCCCCACTGTCCCCCCCAACCCCCCACAATAAATATATTGTTTATGTTTTCTTTTCAAATATTTATTTACATTTTGCAATGTCTGTAACATATTTTAGTATGGTAACCATTTATGAGTATTACATATTTACACTGCTGTGTGGCTGAGAAAATTTTGTCATGGCATAATGAAATACTGTGATACATTGGAAACAGGTTGATTTTTAAAACTGTCCACATTACAGGCTTATTTAGCAGGACTAATCATTTTTAGTTAAACAATTTCTTTGAGAATTTCCCTCCTTCATCTCCTCTCAGATCCACTCCTATCTTTCTACCCCCCTTACTTCATGTCTTCTATGATTTTTAGTAGACTTATTAGATCTAATCTATGTTTCTTAAATGCTCTTAGGTGTGGTTCCGTCCCCTGGAGCCTGGTCAACCTACCTGACATCACACCCTTAAAGAAAACTGAGTCTCCCTCTCAGCTATCAAGTGCCAATAGTTCCTCAGCTAGGGTTCTGGCTTCCTGAACCATTTCCCTTCCCATGCTGTATTCTCATCTGACTTGGGTTTGTTCAGGTCTTAGGCATGCTCTCATGTTGTGAGTTTATATGTATAACTGCCTTATTATATCTGGAAAATTGTTTTCCTTGTATTTATCCATCACCTCTTCTGTAATGATCCTTGAGACTGAGAAAGAGAGGGTGTGATATAGGTGTCCCATTAAGGCTGACCCTGTGAGCTGCAATAAAGACTGGCCTGGCAAGATATGCCCACTGGTGCAATAGTAGCACAAATGTGGAATAACCAACCACTTTTAGATTAGCCTTAAAGCCTTCTTCACAAGATGGAGCCCATACTTGGTTGTATTATCAGGATGAAGACCTGTGGCTAGACAGGTCATCAGTTGTAGGGGAGATCCTTCTATTATCCTGCTAAATGGACATAGCAATAAATCAGCTCCTGATGACTTACTGTTATATCCATAGATTACAGCATCTTTCAAATCTCATTGGAGACACTTCTTTTTTAGAAATATTTTATTTATTTTCATTTTATGTGTATGAGTGTATTGCTTGTGTGTATTTAAGCCTACCTGTGTTGTGCGATGCCCACGGAGGTCTAAAAAGGATGTCAGATAACTTGGAACTGAAGTTGTGGACAGTTGTTAGTTGCCAGGTGGGTGCTGGGAACTGAACACAAGTCAGCTGCAGCCAGTACTCTTAATCACTGACCATCTCTCCAGCTCAGAGACTTTTCTTCTTGCAGAAAATGGCAATTAACACAGAATACCACAACTTGTCACTAACATACAGAAAAATAAGAGATTGCTGATTTTTTTGTTTGTTTTTGAAACAAGGTCTTTTTCTACAGCCATCACTGACCAGGGTTAGGATACAACATCATTAGTGTATTTACCAAGTCAGCTATAGAGTAGTCCACCCTTGCATTTTATGTGTATTATTATTATTTTTATTTTTTGTTTACTTGCATGTAGGCAAGTGCACCCATGTTATGCAATGCCCCTGGAGGTCAGAGGAGGGGAATGGAGTCCCTTGGAACTGAAGTTGTGGATAGTTGTTAGTTGCCATGTGGGTGCTGGGAACTGAACCCAAGTCTGCTGCAGCCAGTACTCTTAATTGCTGACCATCTCTCCAGCTCAGAGACTTTTCTTCTTGCAGAAAATGGCAATTAACACAGAATACCACAGCACAACTTGCCACTAACATACAGAAAAATAAGATTGCTGATTTTTTTGTTTGTTTTTGAAACAAGGTCTTTTTCTACAGCCATCACTGACCAGGGTTAGGATACAATATCATTAGTGTATTTACCAAGTCAGCTATAGAGTAGTCCACCCTTGCTCATGACTTTATTTTGTATAGTTTTAGTTATTTGTGTTTAAAAAAATTAAATGGGAGAATCACAGATCATATTATATATTGTGTGCTATTCCATGTAGTGGGATGAAGTCTCCATTTCCATCTCCATTTCCCAGAATATGGAGTGTCCCTCTATCTACCAGTGTCAGTGATTGGTACTGCTACCTGTCCAGTCCCCAGCCATCTTGGTGACCAGACTCACTGCCACAGTGACCCAAATTTTACTTAACATTGCCACCAAAGGGCAAGAAAATTCAAATATGTAAAAGAGAATCTATAAATGCTTCCCTTTAAGTAAAAAAAAGTGAATGTTCTCAACTTAGAAAGGAAAGAAAAAAATCTATGTGCTGGGGTCGCTAGATTTACAGCACAATAAGAGAGTTTGTGAGACACATACCACATTCACATAAACTTTAGGATAATATAGTGCCGTAATACACCTTCTTGTACATGTGCCTACTAGAGCGTATTAAGGATAAATGAATATTTAAAATGAACAACAAATATAACTGTTTTTAAATCTGCCTATTGAATCAGTCTAGTTTGGTCTCTCTTGGGGGGGGGGCTTTTGCCCTTTCTTATCCGGAGTAATTGTAAAATGCCCCAGAAAGAGGGAGTTGTTGGGGACTTAAAGTGTTGTTAAGTATGAGAAACTTGACTACTGCCTCAGCAAAAGTCCCATGTTGGTTTTTGCTAACTTTTCTTCAACTTTCTGGATTGCAGCAGAGAGCTGCTACTAAGACCATGTCTGCAAGTTCTAAACTAAATGAGTTTGACTGTGTCACCTTAACTGGAGCCAAAATAAACCTACAGTACATGTTTATATTGTCTGTTTTATACATGTCTGGAGCAGAGGAGAGGTTGAAGTTGAATTTCTTCTCACCCTGGGAGATGGTAGTCCTTCAATGTCACCAGAGAGGTCACTGACAGGTCATCTCAGAGAAGACAGCTTCTGGATACCAGAGTGTAATTTCTAAAATATGTCAGTTCTTCATTTTTGTAGGAAAAAAATACGAAAAAGTTTGTAAGAAAAGAAAAATACATATGCATACATTTTTGAACATTTACACATGCAAATTTAAAATAATTCTCTTTAATTTTTAATTAACATTAAATTTTACCTGAAAACTTGTAACTGGGGGCAATTTTTTAATTTGTATTCTACAGTTATTACTAATAAAAAAGCTCCACTTATATATCAATGTCAAAAATAAATCTTATTTTTGCCCAAACTAATAGTGAGTTTTATTGATAGATACCAGGCATACCGAATATGCACCAAGTCCATCAGGCATACAGAAAAGAAATTTACTTTTATAGAACCTATTTGTATTCTACAGTATATTACTAATAAGAAAGCTCCACTTATATATAAATGTCAAAAATAAATCTTATCTTTGCCCAAACTACTAGTGAGTTTTATTGATAGATACCAGGCATACCGAATATGCACCAAGTCCATCAGGCATACAGAAAAGAAATTTACTTTTATAGAACCTTCTCAGTATTTCCACTTTAAACTCCATTTTTCATCCCCCCCCATTTTCATTTTAAAGCAGAAACATTTACTGTTGATTTTCTCTAAACATACATTTTAGAAGGGTAAATTACTCAAAATGTGTGTTTTGTTCTAATTTCATTTTAGCTTCAAACAGATTTGTTAAATATGAATAATAACCATGTGGTCTGAATGCCTTTCTTCAATATTGATCTCTCTGATGTGTCTATCTGATGCCTTCTTGCTGTTGCTATACTGACCTCTGCAGGCTTTTGGAACTGGAAACAGTGGTTTACACTGCTGGCCAAACTAGGGTAAAAGTGGGAGTCTGTGTTCCCTAAGAATTCATATCTATGGAGTTTGTGATGAACCAAAAATTTTATCATTAATTTGGTAAAGAACTTTGTACACATTTATTTTGAAGGATGATTTCAAAAGCAAGATTGGGCATTTTCAATTACTAAACAACTATTTTTTTTGCTCAATAAACTGTGTAAGCTAAAAATCTACCTTTAAAATGGATACTTTAAACATCTTTATCATTTTGCCTTTAATATGAAATAATTAATGAGTTAGAAGAGGTAATCATTTTAGTCAAGAAACAAATCCCTTTGCATGTACGTTGACTGATTTCATGCTCAGTTTGCTTGCGTTTCTCATCTGTTCCTACTTAATAAGCACTTTCACTTGTAAGTTAGGGAATCACTTGCAGACCTACTGAAGCTCAAATTGTGTGTGAACTGTGATGTAAATCTTATAAGTAGTACATATGTTGTCTGAAGCATCTCTGCAGAATTCAATTTAATAAAATGGAATTGTTACCTGTAAAGAATTAGTCTGCTTTTGTAGCTTAATTCTTCTTACCCCTCTGTGATGCAAGGTTTATAACATTTATTCCTGCCAAACTATAACTTTTCAATTAGTATCTGATGCTTCTTTTATACATATATAAATAGCATATGTAAGTCATTGCTAGGTTTGGTTGGTTTGAAGAACAGTGCTCGAAACTTAATTTAGGTTAGAAACAAAAGCATGTTGAACCACACAGCTCTGTGCATGCCTATTCATGGTTTAACACATGACAAAGTACAGAATACTTAAAAATTTAGGTCTGGAAATGTATTTCTGTCTGGTTTATGTTTTCCTTTACTGTTTTCACATTTACTGATTTTAGTAACTATTTCATCTGTTTGCCATGGCAACTCACACTATCTTCCTAGGTAATGTTCAAACAGTCCCTAATTTCCCATTGAGGATAAAATCATTTGAAAAATCCACTTCTGTTAATGCCAACATATCTCCATTTACAAAAGGGACAATAGTTTATAGACTTGCTATTGATAATGAAATTCTAAGACCTAAAATTTAAATAATCCAAAACTTTCTTGACAAGGTACAATTATCTAGGACAAACATTGTCTCCTTTACACTTTCATCCAAATAAAGGACTTTTAAAAGAAATACAAAGATATAGCTATGGCAGAAATAATGTGTCCTTCATATGCCTTACAAGAGTCTATAGAAAATGATAATACTTAGAAAGTAGTGAAAGATGTTAATGGACACTTGTTTTTGGGGGGTGTAAATTTTTTGCTGAATTTTTGTGTATTTCATACAGAACATCTCTATACCCCCTTTCCCACTGGAACCCTCCCATAACTCCACTACCCACTGGAATTCATACATTCTCTCATTTGTGTTTAGGCCTATCAAGTCAAGTTAGTGTCCCCAGATGTCCATCAGTGTAAGTTCATCCACTGGGTTCTAGCTAGTCTATCTAGTATTCCTCCCTCTGAGAAGATCAGCTCTTTCTTCCCCAGCAGTAATCAGCTGCCAATAATTCTTCAACTAAGATTTGGGCCTGCTGCCCATTTCCATCATTCTGTGCTGGGTTTTTGTGTGCTTGAGTTTGCATGAGTCTTGTGTATGCTGACACCATTGCTGTAGGCTTGTATGAGCAAGATCCCAAGAGTCTGTAGGACTCTCTTTTCATATGTTCATGCACCTCCTCTCTGACTCATACAATCTTTCAGCCCCCTGTTCTGCAATGTTCCCTGAGCCCTGGGTGAGTGAAATTTAATATAGGTGTCCTGTCCAAGGACCCACACTCTGCAGACTCTTACTCTCTATGCTTTCGTCATTTGTGATCTTTTGTGTTCCTGGCCCTCTGTTGCATGAGGGAGCTTCATTGATGAGAACTGAGAAATGAATTAGAGTCCTCTTCATCCCTTGTTGAATTTTACATGAATTAGCTTTTGCACTTTTATAAACCTTTATTTTACTAATATGTACCTTGAACTGTTTCCTACAAAACAATGTCTGTAATGTGCTTAAGAACATTTCAGTAGCAATGCTGGAGTAGGGCAAGGAGTGGAAAGTGTAAATATGGTTGAAACAGCATTGTCCTTAAGAATCAAGGGTGGGATTACATGGACATTTACAGTTCCCTCTCCATTCTATAGGTTTGACATTTTCCAAGTGAAAACTGGAACAATCATGGTAACTAAGTGGCAACACCTCTCCTCACAGTCATTGAACTGAACAATTACCTTAAACCAGGAATCTTGAAAAATTTGCTTATCCATATTTTTGTAATATAAAAATGCATATATTTTAGTGTGAATTCGCACAGTTCCCTCTCATCTTACCAACTCTCTGCTCCTTTCTTATCCAGCATCTGACTTCTCAGGCACACCGCTCTGTTCTTCACCATGCTAGCCCAAGCTTGTACAGCAGTGTTCACTATCCCATCTATGCATGTGCTATGCTCTTATTCCATCAGAAGTGATGCCAGATGATTCTTCCTAAAGGAATAAGTATTAGCTATAACCACAGCTCTGCTTTCTAATTTTTATGGATGCTACATTTAATAACATGTTATATTTTAATTCACACTGTACACAAAAAGAATTGAGTATTTTTACTGCATTGAACATGCTAATCTTACTTCCATTTATAATTTATCATTACATCCTTGTTTATTCTACCCACCATTCTCAACTTAGTCATATACTATAAAAATTCCCTTGTAAAGATGCCAGAAATTATTTTTCAGATTAATCGGGGCAAGTATAAGCAAGTTCATCAGTTATTCTTATATAGCTAGGACAAGATAAAAGAAAAAAAATGTAAAGAAGAGTTTATTTTGGCTCATGGTTTCAGAAAGTTGAATTTCTCATAGAAAGAATGGATGTTGAATCAGCACAGCTCACATTCTGATTAACCATGAGCAGAGAACAGGAAGGCTGATGGGCGCTCCACCAGCTTTCTGTTTCCCCTTTGATTCCCTCAGGAGCCCTAGTCCATGAGATGGTACCATCCAAACTCAGGGTGGATCTTCCTCCCTCATTAAATCCCATCTGGAAATGACCTCGTAGCCATACCTACAGTGTGCTCACCAGTTTTTAGATGATCCTAAATCTAATGAGGTTGACAAAGTAGACTAACCACCACAATGAGTAATTAGATACTATTCCCTAATAATTGTGAGATTCTGGAATATTAATGCCTCTTGATGACTTGTTGCATTCAACTGAAAACAATTAAAAAGAATAGTTCATAATAAATAATTTTTATGGAAGAAGAGGGCCATGAAGTAAGATTTCTAGAATTTTCTTGCTTACACAAAGTTCTAAAGTAAATATCAAAATCTTTGTTTTTGATTTTATATTTTTTATTATTATAATGTTGTTACTTTTATCAAATGAAATATTATTGATTTGGAACTTAGCTGTTATCAGTGTTCATTAGTTACTGATTTCATTATGTAGGATGCCTTCCACTGACATTGTTGCTTTATCTTAAAACAACTATATAATAG